TTATTTAAAAATCACTGTTACACAGAAAAAAAAAAAACGACTCGCTTGAGTTTTTGGTAGGTACTCAATCTGGTGAAATTGGTGCAGAATGTTTTTAGCACCTTGGCACATTTCTAAGCCACAGAAGAAATATTTAAAAAAATAAAAATAAAAATTAGTGCCTATATTTTAAGTAATGAAAGTGGTTTGATCCGAGATTCATTCCAGTTGTGTTCAAACGCTAGTTAACATTGCAATGGCGACTTCTCCTTGTGGAAGCTCTCTAAGCAATGTAATGATACAAACTATAACAAAAGCATCCAGTAAGGGAAAAGCCCCCCAAATTAGCAAGTGGCACAAATATTATTGGCATTTTAATACACCATAAAATTCACCTGAGGGTGGAGTGGCATTCTGCTTCATTTACTCCCTTCAATTTACTCTTAAAAAATATATACTGGTATTTAACAAGATGAGAATTCTTAAGCACCATCTAAAAGTTCACAATATAATCACCTTGATCGACTTTGAATAGCTCTGTCTCAAAAAAGATATTTAGAAACTTTAATATTTTAAAAAATTTTGGTGGCTAAATTAATTGCATCCTATTAGCCAGCATTCTTCCAAATCATTTCAAGACATATTTAGCATTCAGTTTGGGTGACAAAAAAGCAACAAAGAGAATGAGTATGTTTATGTATTGTTAGCATAGTTTAATGTTTCACCTAGGTAAATCTCATCTTCTTTTGTGTATGACCATCACTGAAGAATGAACAATATGCATGCAATCCACAGTTAATCCACGTTTCCTTCATAATGCAGTACGCACAAATCTTGGAAAAGATGAACCACATGACTATATTTACACAGGGGGAATTTAAGCATTTGCATGTGGATTAAATGCTTTTTTAACAGGATAAACAAGTGATTGTTTTGGAACTCATGGGATGCAGCTCACCAGGTGGAATCTAATGGTGGTTTTCACAGACTACCGGTTTTGTTGATGTGGGTTGTTAGTCGCTGTGCTTACGGTTAAGCCATGCAACAATCCTCATAACACTAATGATTATGACCCACAGTGTAGTTCTGAAGTATAATTGTGAGGTTTAAAAAAAAAGGAAAAGTCTGTTTCACGTGAAATCTCTCCTTTAAGTACTTACAGGGTCTAACCAAGTGACTATGCCCACTAGAACTACCAAAGCTGCCCAGTAATGTCCTCTCTGAAGAACTGGCCGATTAAAGCTGCATCGAAACAGAAGCATGGAAAAATGAAGGGGGAAGAAACTATTCAGAGCCCAAAGAAATACAAGGCAGTCGAGCTGGTGTTTTGAGATAGGCACTTTTTCCCGTGTGTCCTCAAATTGCAGTAGACAGTGGTAGTCAAGGGAGGTGGTACCGTACCATGCTCCTTGGAGGGCATGTGAACATGGGGGAGAGCTTTTTACTTTTGTTTTTTACAAAGACTGGGCACGCCACTGCCATTTAGTCAGCAGGGGCCTGGGATACTAAACATCTTGCAATGTGTGGGACATTTCTGTACAACAAAGACTGCACAGCTCCATATGCCAATAGGACCCCCACTGAGAAACATTGATCAACAGTGCTTTGCTCATATGTGTTGCTGTGCTAGCAATGTGACAAGCTAAATGACATTTTTGTGCAGCAAATCCTAGCATGGCTAAAAACAATCTATGCCTGTAGGGTTTGCTTTTGGCGGGAACAGCTGCCACAGAATTTTCCATTTTTTTTCCAGAATTTTTTTTTTTTTTTGTGAGGAAGATCAGCCCTGTGCTAACATCTGCCAATCCTCCTTTTTTTTTTTTTTTTTTTTGCTGAGGAAGACTGGCCCTGGGCTAACATCCGTGCCCATCTTCCATCCACTTTATATGGGACGCCGCCACAGCATGGCTTGCCAAGCGGTGCGTCGGTGTGTGCCCTGGATCCAAACTGGCGAATCCTGGGCCGCCGCAGCAGAGCGCGCGCACTTAACCACTTGCACCGCCGGGCCGGCCCCTTTGCCAGAAATCTTATAGCATATACAATGGGATTTCTTAATTTGGAATGAAAAAGCATAAATGGACTATGTTTTGGTTGTTGTCTATAAATGCTAATGGTGGTTCGCATTTCCATACAGAGCTTAAGCTTAATGATTACAAAGAAAAAAAAGAGAGAACGGTTTGGGAGCATTCAACCTTCGTCCCCACCACCCTTTGGTCACTGCCAAATTATAGCAGAGCCTCATGAGCCTCTTTGAAACTTGGGTTTGAACCAGCTAGAGTTATGCTTTCTCTCAGACTGATAGTCCTATTAATTTGATGATTACTTTTGCCATTGCATTCCCCTCTAGGACATATTTCAGTTCTAGAAGTTCATTCTGCTCTGCCAAGTAAAACAATGTAATACAGCCTACCAATAAGTAGAGAGCAAATATTCAATAGTGGAATAGTGGGATAGCTGAAGCTATTTCAAGACGCCAAGGGATAACTTTGTCAATAAATTGCATCTTAGCGGTTCTTTGGTTCTCACAACATACTCTAACGATGTGAAGAAATTAATTCTTGTCTCAAAGCATATACTTTTACTAGTCAGGTTAGACTTAATAATATGACTGGAATTTAGGAATGTTTCAGCTACCACAGTGATGAAATGACATAGATTTATGTATCTCGTTCTAGCGTGATTCCATTTCACTTGCTCCGAGGGAGATTTCTCACTCTGTGTGAAATGTTCTGCTGGGACCACTTACAAAGTAATAAGACACTGAGGAAATTTTTGAGCAAGAAAGGAGGAAAAGAAAGCTTTCACTGTTTACATATGGATATACTACTACATGCTAGTCAAGACTGCCTTTTTCTGATGTGAACACAGTATAATTTTTGAAAGTTGCGTCTTCCTGATCCTATTAAGAAAAAATACATCTGTTAGGTGTTGGACATGCAGTGTTAATGCAGATTTTTTTCTCTTTTAAGTGTAAGCTACTGCATTTTTCAAAAGTATCAATGCAGCACTGAATTGCAGGGTTTTAAGGAATTCTCTCTCATTTTCAACATTTGATGATTTTTGAAGGACGTGTGCAATCCCTGAACTTCCTTAAACAGATTTTCACTTACATTTCAGACCTTTCTGTGAACAGAATATATTTACTAACATGAGAGAAAGATAAGTGACTACAATCGCTATGCTAACAAAGGATACGAAATGAAACCAGGAAGTCAGTTTTTCCGGGTAAATCAGAGAGATACATGAGTTTGCTTTTTCCTCTATTTAAAGTAGCTATTCAAATACCCAAAATTGTTCTCTGAATATTATAATTTCATTTAAATAATTTAAGGAATTAACATAAAGGGAAACTACATGAAACATAAGAAATGCAAGACACTTCACATACACAGGAAATTATCAGGCAGGGCTGCCTTAAATTAACGCTGATCACCAGAGAACTAATTTTGTCAGACTGATTGGTAGGGCCCTGAAGACGCTGGATCAAGCCATAGCATCCTCTTACCACCTTAATGTTAAGGTTCTTTTTCTCTATTTTAAGAAAGATGAAAATGGCCACTTTGGTTTTTACAGTCTGTCTAGTTCTTTCCTGCCTGGCCCTTCCTGGAGATGGGTTTGTTTTCTTCCTTAATCATATCCTGGGGACTCAGGAAAACCCACTCATTTCCTCTATGTCGGCCTAATGTTTAAATAGGGAAAACCTGGTGGTATGTTACAAAACCCAATTCACATACACATTTATTTTTGTTATAGAATTGCAGCTTATTGCATGGACTGCAGAAATGCTGGCATTGGGCAGAGGCCTAATTATATGGAAGGTGGTCCACACCTTTGCATTCTTTTAGGGCAGCCAGGCAAGAAACCTCTGGATGGGCTGCTGGTGTGGACAGGCATTGTTTCTGCCTTTTAAAATGAGCTATTAAAATAGAGCCTTATTCTGCAAAATATCGCTTAGCTCATAATCCTTTGATTCTTTCCACAGCTTTTTACTTAGAGAATCATTCTAATGAAATAATTGGTGGGTCCGATTCTTAAATATTAGACTGGCGGTGGTTAATTTTTTTGACTTTTTAACTTTCTCTAACTTTTAAACTTTTCTCTAAACATGTCATCAGTAGGAAGAGAAAGTGTGGGTAGTTCACACATCGGACATCTCATACAAGGTAAACACTATATTGAGGTACCAGACTCTCATTTTTGTAGTAGGCATATCTCATTGTAGGGAATAAAAACTGTATCACATCTACCACGAGTGGGAAAAAATTGTTCCTTTTATCAACCAAATAGACTTTCTAAGACATGTATCTTGAATGATAAAATGGTGATAATGTCTTATATTTACCATTTTTAGAGAGGCCTTGTGATTAGAAATTAAGACAATGTTTAACGATTGTAAGTATATAAAATTAAAATAACATTACATTCCTTGGTATTATTCCCAAGGCACTAAAATGATACTAAACTATGATAAGAAAAAGGGTGACTTCAGCCAAAAAATTACAACAAAGTTAACGTCTATGGCTGGATTTAAACACGAAGAGATGGATAGAACCTCAGCCAGAAAAAGACACTTGGATGTGCAGAAAAATTTTTTCAAAACAAAAACACGTCTTATCCTATTAATGAAATGACAACAGTGCAGAAATCTAGGTTTATTTTATTAATGCACATAGTTGAGTTCAGCAAGAGGTGTAACAACGCTGGTTACTTTTCTTAGTTATAAAATGGTCCTGGCTTTTTGTAATAGGCCGACTGAGGGCAAAATTTTTTATTTTTAAGCAAAATCTTCCAATTTCAAGTGGTTCTTTAAAATATAAATGAATGGCAGGATCCACATTTATCCACCAGATTAAATACTTGCTTTTTGGTTGAAATAAAAAATTACAGTCTTCCATATTATGAAGCAGAATCATTTCAGAAAATTCTAGTCCGAGCTCTGAGAATAAAATAAAGTCTATTTAGGTCTTGTCTTGTTATCATACATCTCATGTGTTTTTAATAAAAGGGGCAAAAAACAATCGTGAAGGAACAATTAAATGCCAGGTAGTATCTATACAGGGTCATTTGTATTTGGGAGCAGAAGCCATGCTGTGCACGTGATTCCATGGAAAATAGCAAGATGGCAATAGAGGTCTCTTAATGTAAACAATACTGACTGTAAGCTCATAGGGAAACCTAATCTCACTGATTGTTTTGCACTGAACGTCAACGCTATATTTATGGATGCAATCTGTAGACCTGAAACACAAAATGAGGTTCTCCTCACTTGCAACCTAACAGAAATTTTCTGTGTTCTTTTAAGCCATTGGGTGAGTATTTTTTTGATCCGTGAGCTTTATTTTTTCAATAGCAGCAATCCAACTTAATGCAGCACTGAAAAGAAGTAGTCCTTTGCATCCCCAGTCAGAGCTAACTGCTGGCAGAACACTTGCATTTTGCTTCAGGTTTAACTTTGGATTGGGATTTTTTTTTTAAAGGTATAGTGACTGTCGATATTATCTTCCTTAGATCAAGTAAGGTGATTTCGACTTTGGAGATAATCAAGCTAGGGAAAAGCCAAAAGATTTATTTCTAAAGCTTGCTACAGATTTATAGGGTCATATTACATCTGACTTTATTCCCAGTCCTGTTATCCTTGTGGACGGATGGTATGTTAGGTAAGGAGTATTAAAAAAACGTAAAGAGTGTATAGCTATGCTACTTAAAGCATGCAACAAAATTCAGGTAAGCATGCTCGTTAAGAGTCAGTGAAAGCCTCTTGCATTTAAGAAAAAGATGCATGAAAACAGACTTACTTCTGGCAATTGGATTCACTGGCACGACATAAAATAATGGTACTACACTGTACCAACATAATGGTCAAACAAGAATATTCTTGTAGCATCAGTCCTTTAAGGAATCCACGTTGGGTGATTAGATTCCCAAATTCATTAATAAGTTCTCAGCTACCAAAAGCCTGCTTGAAAAATACATTTATGCTTCAATTTTCTCTTTTCTTCATTAACATAATGAAATATTTCTCTTTCTTTCTGATTTTCAACCCCCACCCCTTTCCAGGGCCCAGCAATTGCGTTCCCCATTTTTCTTTTACCCGCGCTCTAAAATGTGGCTTTCTGGTAACAGGGAGTCAGCGATTGTCTTCTGCTCATCTTCTTTGATGAACACTCCTGATAAACAGTAACTGGCATAACCATGGTGTCCCTTACCATCAATACACGTGCTGGACAGCAAGGTCACTGCACCCTTCCCTTTGCTTGTGGCCCAGCTGGGCTGTCCAGATGAGGAGCACTTTCCATACGCTTCCTTCACCATGAGTCCAACGGAAACACACACATTCAAATCCCAGTGCAATATCAGGTTTTCAGGAAGCGAGGCTTCCCCCAAAGATGATCAGTCTATGTTTCCAATGAGTCTTGCACTTCATTATGGACGATGAAACCTGAAAGAAGACACAGGAACGCTGTGAGTCTGTGGTACAGAAGCACAGTCTGCATTCGGTGAACTGAGTAAGGTATGGTCATGTTTATGATTAAAGGCAGCGCTAGTCACCCCCCAACTGAATGACTGTTATCAACTCCTGTCACAACAGAATACTGTTATAAATCTTATGTTAAAGTAGAGACAGCCCCGATGCAGAAGATGCTGGTTCTAGCATCCAGGATATAGAGCAATCAATACACAAAACATCACTCTTCTTGAGGGTCATGTTCTGACCTGCATTGAGCAGAGTGAGATATTTCACAAAGGATTTGCTTTCACCTGGTTTGTAGTTATTAAAGGAAAACATCAGCAAATAGTCACTATTTCATTAGCTTCAGCCTCTCATCACCTCTGCTGATGAATCCAAATCTACTTTCTACGCCTGAATTTCCAAATGCCTGCCGGGCTTTTCCTTCCAAATGTTCCACAGGCTACACACTAGCATGTGCACAACAATATAAATAATCTTTTCTTGTAAACCTGTCCTTGTACTTTCTATCTTGTTAAACGTTCTAGGTTTTTAGTCTAGAAACCTCAGATTTGCAGCTCATTTCTCTCCTTCACCCTCCATATCCCATTAGTCACCAAGCCCTGCCTCGGTTGTCTGTCTTTGAATTTGTTAAAGCCCTCACCATCTTTTGCTGACACTACTTTAACAGCATGCTAGCCAGGTAGCTGGCTTCATATCCCCCCATGTGAGTTCTGGAACATTCCTTGGGTTTTTGTAGCCCTGTGCTTTTGAACATGCTGTACCTTAATAACTGCAATCCCCTTTCTTCATTTTCCATCAATTTCCTTGAATTTTCATATTCAAGATCACGGTCAGGAGCCATCTTCCCCACTGAGCCTTATCTGACCCACCTCTTCAGCCTACTTCTGTGATGTCACCTTCATGTTCCATCCAGCATTTCATGTGTCTCGTATAATCTAATGTTCATCTGCCCTAGGAAACCAGTCTTCCAATTAGTTTCCCTGTCCCTGTCATAGATCTGGCAATCAAATCTATGCTCCACACTGTCGCTAGCATCATCATCATAAAATACGGATCTGATCATTCCAGTTCTTCGTTAACATTGTATTGTTCCCCATTCCCTACAAAATAAAATTTAAATTTCTTAGAGTGGCGACTGAGACTTCTCAGGATGTGGCCCAACCCACGTTTCAAGCTATATCTCCATCACTACTCCCCAAATGCTGTAAGTTCCAATCATTCGCCCCAAAATGCTCTCCATTTTTGTGCTCATGCTCTTTCCTTCGTCCTTATCTTCCTCCAGCTCCTACAATCTCATTCTGTGAGCTCCCCAAAGTCCCCTTTCTCCACCTCTCAGGGAAGCAATAATTGCCTTCTCTTCTGTGTTCACATAACACTTGGTTTGTACCAGTTATTTATCACAGTATGCAATCTTTGTACAGGTGGCGTCTGCTCTTAGCTCGTGAGACATTGACGAAAGATTCGTGCTTATTCACTTTTATATACTCAGAGAATGCAATATCCGGCACATGGTATTACTTGATAAATGTTGTTGTGTGGAATCAAAGCACTAAAATGGAAAATTAAAGACATAAGAACGATGAACAAGATGAGCCGTAAGTTGATAACTGGAGAAGCTGCGTGATGGATGTGTGGGGCTTCTTACATTACTTCTGCATGTTTGACTTTCCAAAAGTGAAAATAAAAATCAGACATACCAAGCTTTCCAAACATGCTGCGAGTAAAGTAGGCATGTGTCTTTGAGTTCAATTCTTAACTCTACCCTTGACCGTAATCTTGGGCAGGTACGTGAACTTCCAGGCTCTACGTTCGTTGTACAGAGGTAATATGACTGTTTCAGTCACTTGGGCCGTCTTTCTGCCCTCTGATCATGCATAATTCTTTCTCAGCTCAGGCCCTTTGCACTAGCTCTTCCCTCCACATTAACTGACCCTCTGCAGGCGTGGAATGTTTTCCTCTTTCCCGACAACGTTTTTGATAGCTCCCTTTTTTCATTTAAATCACAGAATAAGTTTTATTTCCTCGAGACCCCTTTCCTGGCCATCCTATCTATACCTACCCTTGTCCCTCCCACCGCATCCTGTTATAGTTTCCTTAAGGTACTTGGCACGATCTGAAATTATCATGTTTATTTATTTGTTTACTTGCTAATGGTTTGTCTCCCTCATTAGAACATAACCGTGTGACAGCGAGGACCTTCTCTGTCATGTTCTAAATTCCCAGGGTCCAGAACAGAGTCCGGCTCACCCTATGAGCTCAATAAAAATTTGTTGAATGCACAAACAACTGAATATATATATACAGGGGCACTTAGAAGTCTATTTGATGGGGCCAGTCTGGTGGCTTAGCGGTTAAGTTCCCACGCTCCACTTCAGCGGCCCCAGGTTTGCTGGTTCGGATCCTGGGCGCAGGCCTACTTACTGCTCATCGAGCCATGCTGAGGCGGCGTCCCATATAGAAGAGTTACAACCCTACAACTATGATACACAACTACGTACTGGGGCTTTGGGGAGAAAAATGAAAAAGAAGAAGATTGGCAACAGATGCTAGTGCAGGGCCAATCTTCCTCAAAAAAAAAAATTAATTAATTAAAAAAAGAAGGCTATTTGATGACTCTTTCTATAAATAATTCTATGTAACTGAAGAGCCCAAACATGAGACCCCTAAAATTAATTACAATTAAATGTATACTAGACTATGATAACCCATCTGATAGGACATTCCATCATGCTTTCTAGGAAGAGTCAACTATAACCTGAAGAAAAATATGAAAAGTCTATAAAAATATTTCAAAGGGGTAATTGAAAACCTCTTTAATCAAACTTTTTACATAAAATGTGAAAGAAAGAGAGGCAGATAATAATGATAGCTAACATATACTAAATTTTACCATGTGTCTGGCACAAGTCCACATGCTATACATATATTACTTCATTTAATCCTCAAAACAAGCCTATGAGGTAGGAACTCCTGTATCCCTTTTGTACTGATGTGGAAACTGAGGCACAGGGATTCTAAGTCAGGGACTCAAGGCAGAGAGCTGGTAAGTGGAGACTCCAGGCTTCAGACTCTGTATTCCTAACCCACACTGGACTATGAGACCAAAACATGCCTTCATTCATACTTTCATCCAGATGGTTTTTTTGGTGCCTTCTGGGTAGAATGGAATGGAAAAGGTGATCAGTTGGATTTCTACGTCTGTGAGTTAGTGTTGAGATCAATTTTGACCAGAGAAAAGTCCTGTTCCACATCCCCCGGCTATACTTTGATGGCTACAGTTGCCTCCAAAACACCTGCCTTTTCCCACAAAGGGAACTAGATGAGAACGGGCTCAGCAGCAAACTTTTTGCAATTACTAGCAAAGCGAGTTCAGTGATGTCTTTGGGGTGGAAACGAGCAGCATCGCCTCCCTCTGGGCAGGATATACGAGAACCATCCACACCACACGGAGGGAGCAGGAGCCCTGGAGGCCCTGACAATACAGACTAATAGATTGCACCTGCAGAATCTTCACACCGTGAGCTACCAAAGGTCCCTCTCTGTTCTCGTCTTCTCTAGGAATTAAATTCAAACTCATCTAGTTTAGCAATCTTTTAGACCTCTCCAAATTTGCTAGGCTTTGCACACCAAACATTCCATAATGTCTCAATCTTCATTTGATCCTGGAATCAAAGGATAAGTGTGGGGACACCTGACATGGGAGCTTTGTCCTCCCATCAGTAACACCTGTGGGATGAAGAAGGTAAATTAAGAATTGAATTGGGCAATAAAGTGAGTAGTCAGTGGACCAGAAGAGATTTGGAACCTTCAAAAGCCCAGCATTTTCCTGGAAAGCGTCCTGCTTTTAATTTCCTAAAATTAGTGGGACACTGTAAGATTTTTTTTTTTTAAGGTGAGGAAGATTGACCCTGAGCTAACATCTGTTGCCAATCTTCCTCTTTTTTTTTTTGCTTGAGGAAGATTGTTCCTGAGCTCACATCTGTGCCAATCTTCCTCTATTTTGTATGTGGGACGCCACCATAGCACCGCTTGATGAGCGGTGTGTAGGTTTGCGCCCAGGATCTGAACCTCTGAACCCCAGGCCGCCCACAGCAGACGGTGTGCAAATTTAACCATTACACCACCGGGCCAGCCCCAACGGTAAGATTTTTTAATTTTTTTTCTGCGGACACTATTTGCTCACGAATCCCATCAGAGAGTGAGTTCTACAGTCTGGATTGTGTTGGAAGGTCAGGCCATCAGCGCAGCTTCAAAGGCCACTAAGAGAAGAAAGTGATCAACTGATACTGTGAATGTAATCATATGCCGACAAAGCCAGGGGTCAGACATGTAACCTCTCTTCATATGGACTCCCAGATCCAGCAAAAAAAAACCCCATATATTTTCGTGCGCTATCCAATCAGAAAAGGACATTTATATCCTGTTTAAATTGGGCACCTTATCTTCAAATTCAGCTCTAAAATTTTATGGTTAGAGGTACTGAAAATGCAAACAGTTCTTAAGTTTGTTAGTACTCAGCGGTTTGCATTCATTTTGAAACAGGAGAAGTTCAGCTTTACCTCCTGAGAAGTCTGCCTACCTGACAGAATGACAGTTTTGGCTTTAGGCTTCAAGTTGATAGAGCAATAAATAGATTTACTGTGCGCTAAGGATACTTAAGCTTTTCATCCACCCTTTTCTTCAGAACTTTCCTGAGGCTCAAATTTGAAGTTATTTATATTTTCTTCCTCTTGTTAAAACCGCAATAAATTTTTCTTATTTTCATACCGTTGAGAGGGAGTGAATAGGGGAAAAAGCTATTTTTAAGTCATGGAATTCAGGTAAAGATCATTCTTTTCCATAAAGATGGTTCCTCTACAAATTAATATACAAAAATTTACTCACCTTCCTGTAAATTCCTTCAGATAAGATAAAACATAAAATTACTCACAAATGTGAAATGTTATTTCCTATACTTCCCTATTTGA